TTCCAGCTACTTGGAAGGTTGAGGCGGAAGGATCGCTGAAGCCCAGCAGGTCGAGGCTGCAGTGGCCTGGAGCAGCCACTGCACGCCAGTCTGGGCGACAGTGAGACTCCAACTCAAAATAAAAAATAAATGAAATGCCCCCTGGATGTTTTTATTGGATTCCAGTCCCAAACTTCCTCATTTGAAAATGATAATGTGGGCCATATACTGTATGACCAGAGAACAGAATACGCTCCCAAGACTTTTCAGAGCAGTAGGACTGGGATGAGGCAGTTGAATCACCAGGATGAAGTGGAGCATTGAAGATGAGTGCCTCCTTAAAGAATGCACCTTGTTGGCTGGGTGTGGTGGCAGCCTGTAATCCCAGCACTTTGCGGGGCTGAGGCAAGGGGATTGCCTGAGTCCAGAGGTTCGAGACCAGCCCGGGCAACTTGGTGAGCGCTTGTCTCTAGAGTAAATCGAAAAATAAGCTGGGTGTGGTCGCCCACACCTGTGGTTCCAGCTACCTGGAAGGCTGAAGCAGAGGGATCGCCTAAGCCCAGCAGGGCGAGGCTGTGGTGGCAGTGAGCATGCCACTGCACTTCAGCCTGGGCAATGGCGTGAGACTCCAAAAAAAAAAGAATGCACTTTGCATTGGTTCTGTGTCTTTAAAAAAAAAAAAAGGAAAAAAGAGTGCTCCTAAGAATGCCTCCTGGCAGCCTTACCACAATCTTGACCCTATAAAACAGGATTGAAAAGGTTGCTTGTGGCCAGAGTATAGTTCAGCTACCAGAAGGTTGAGGTGGGAGAATCACTTGAGCCTACAAGTTTGAGTTCTGTTTGCAACAGAGCAAATACCCACCTTTTTTTTTTAGTGGAGTGCATTGGCATGCTCACAGCCACCGCAGCCTTTACCTGCTGGAATCAGGCGATCCTTCCGCCTCATCCTTCCAAGTAGCTGGAACCACAGGCATGTGTCACCACGCTCAGCCAAGAGTTACTTCTTTTTCTCTTTTTTCCCAAGTAGCTGGAACCAGGCGTGCACACCCACACCCGGCTTATTTTTTGATTTATTGTAGAGACGAAGTCTTACCATGATGTTCAGGCTGGTCTCAAACCCTTAAGTTCAGGCAGTTCTCTTGTCTCCGCCTCTCAAAGTGCTGAGATTACAGGCATGAGCCACTGCACCTGGCTTAATTTTTTTTTTTAAAGCACTTTGTAGGACTTAAAAGAAAGAGTAAATGGAGCACTAGGAATAAGCACATTTAGAAGAAAAAATGGAAATCAGTAGCTCGAATTGAGAAGGTTCATGAGAGAATGAAGATAAGATACAAAAGAAAATTTCTTTTTCAGAAAGGGTGTTTGAACAGTAACCCTGGGAGAAGAACCCCTTACCTCCTGGGATGTTTTATGTTTTGCATGTTTTATTTAACTGGAGTGCACAGTCGCATCAAAGTTGCATCTTTTGTTTTTTATTAGGTATTCTATTACTCAACAGGAATCTTCAAGGAAGCTGGCGTTGGGGAACCAATCTATGCCACCATCGGCGCGGGTGTGGTTAACACCATCTTCACCGTAGTTTCTGTAAGTTGGATGGTTTGATCATTTTGAGGGGAAGAAATGAATTCTTATTACAGATGTTCAAAGATGGGTTGTGTATCTTTCAGCCTCCCTAATATCATTTCTTAGACTATTTTGGGGGTTTAATTTTTTTTTTGAGAGTTGGAGTCTCACTCTGTCGCCCAGACTGGAGTGCGGTGGCCGCTCCCACCCACCGCAGCCTCGACCTGCCGGGCTCCGGCGATCCTTCCGCCTCAGCCTTCCGAGTAGCTGGAACTACAGGTGTGCGCTACCACACCCGGTTGATTTTTTGATTTATTGTAGAGATGAGGTCTTGCCAAGTTGCCCAGGCGGGTCTCGAACCCGCGGGCTCAGGCAATCCACTCACCTCAGCCTCCCAAGGCGCAGGATTACAGGCTGAGCCACCGAGCCCAGCTGCAGTTTAATTTTTCTTTGTGAAAAACAGATACACTGAATGATGGGTGGAAGTAGTCTTTACTCTTCAAGGAAATATGGGATAGACGGGAAAGGGGGAGATACGGAAGGGATTATTTAGGATGCTTTGAATTTGGGATTGAAGAAGGGGAGGTGTTTGGAAACTCTCAAAACCATGATTTCCCTGTTTTTACATTAAAACAGCATTCATCAGCACAGAAGACTTCTGTGACCCCAACATATGTGGAGATTTCTCTCCAGTAAGCAAGCAGTCAGTCCTATAGCAGACACCAGCTGGGTGCCCTCTAATTTAACTTTGAGACTGTCTATGTGAAGATAGCACGACATCTCATACACAGGTTGAGGGCCCAGTCCCCATGACTGCCCCACCCTTGGAAACTAGTAGCTAGTCCGGGCCTCTGGAATTTCTGACCAGCTTTAAGTTGGGGTTCTCACGACCCCCTCTTTGCGTTTGACTAGTTGGCTAGAGGAGCTCACAGAACTCAGGGAAACACTTGCTTACATTTACTGGATTACTAGGAAGGATATTTTAAAGGACTTAAATAAGCAGCCAGAAAAAGGGATACATAGGGCGCGGCCTGAAGGGTCCCCAGTGTAGAAGCTTCTGTCCCCATGGAGTTGGGGTACCACCCACTCCAACATGTGGACGTATTCTTGTTCACCTTGTCAGCATCCACTTGTTCAGCTACCCAGAAGCTCCTCAGATCCTGACCTTCAGGCTTCATTGACTGTCCACAATTGAAGTATGGACAACCATGTAGAAATGTGATTGGACATAAAGGGTGATCTAAGCCCAGCAAGACTTGTGTGTTTAAGGGTTTTTTTTGACCTCTCTTTGTAATATTTCTTCCTATAGCATATGGGGCAAGACCCTCTCTGAAATGAGGGTCTTAGAACCCACATATTAGAGTCCTGCCCACAGACTGGAGAAGTTAGGGATTGTGTTTTCTAAAGCCTGCTCCTGAGGCTTAAAGCAGCATCCCATCATTATGACAAAAGACTGTAACAAGTGTTATGGGAGTTATGAACCAGGACCTGTGGACAAAAACATGTATGTGTCATAATATCACAGCAGGTGTGACTATGAAAGTATTCTACTGGTAAGGCAGATTTCAAGTAGCTCATACAGTGTTTTCATGGAAGGGAGAACAAAAGTTTCATAGTTTGTTTTTTTTTTTCCAGCTGTTTCTGGTGGAAAGGGCTGGAAGGAGGACACTCCATATGATAGGCCTTGGAGGAATGGCTTTTTGTTCCCTCCTCATGACCATTTCTCTGCTATTAAAGGTGAGTGCTCTTTGGGTAAAGGAAAGAGAGGGAGAAGGGGAATGGAGAGAGATTCCAGCTGACTGTCTGATACACAGGGTGAGTTGTTAAGGTTGGAGATCATCCATAAATTCAAATTTGAGAGAAGCAGGATGCCCAGGGTTATTCAGAGAGGTGGATCATCAGCGATAGGTGAACTGTTATAGTCCTTAAATGTATGCAACATTCTAGCTTGTTAAAATAAATTACCTGGCCGGTCAGCTTCAACCTGCTGGGCTCAGGCAGTCCTTCTGCCTCAGCCTTCCAGTTAGCTGGAACCACAGGTGTGCACCTCCATACCTGGCCAGTTTTTTTTATTTTTATTTTTTTTTTGACTTGGAGTCTTATTCTGTCACCCAGCAGGCTGGAGTGCAGTGGCACGCTCCCAGCCACCACAGCCGTGACCTGCTGGGCTCAGGTGATCTTTCCACCTCAGCTTTCCGAGTACCGGGAACTTCAGGCACACATCACCAGCTAATTTTTTGATTTATTGTAGAGATGAGGTCTCACCAGGTTGCCCACGCGACCTCCCAAAGTGCTAGGATTATAGGTGTGAGCCACTGTGCCTGGCCTTTTTGATTTATTATTAAGACGAGGTCTCACCAAGTTGCCCAGGCTGGTCTCAAACCTCTGGGCTCAGGCAATCCTCTCACCCTGGCCTCCCAAAGTGCTGAGATTACATCGGCCTAAATTACCTAATTCTTAAAAATAATAATTGAGGTAGTCCCTGTTATAGATGATGAGGTCTCGGTGCAAAATGACACACATGAGATCACATAGCTAGGATTCAAAAACCCAAGGCTTTGGAGGCCAGTGACTGTGTGATGGCCCAGGACAGAAGAGCCTGCCATTAACCAGCAGTCGCCTCCAGGGGACTGGTCGCTGGGTCATGCTATCTTACCATTAACATTTCCTCTTTCCTTCCTCACATAGGACAAGTATGGTTGGATGAGCTTTGTCTGTATCGTGGCTATCTTGATCTTTGTGGCCTTCTTTGAAGTTGGACCAGGCCCCATTCCCTGGTTTATTGTGGCGGAACTCTTCAGCCAGGGACCCCGTCCAGCCGCAGTGGCTGTGGCTGGCTGCTCCAACTGGACCTCCAACTTCCTGGTTGGGTTGCTCTTCCCCTCTGCTGCCGTAAGTAGACTCACCCCATCTTAACACCAACACACAGAAACCGACATGTCTAAGATACGCCTTAGTAATAGAGTGGTCCCCCTCATCTGGGCCAGAGGTCCAAAAACATTCAATGGGAAATTTCAGAAATAAACAATTAGTAAGCTTTAAATTACACACTGTTCCGAGAAAATGAAATTTTTGCTTTGTCCAGCCTAGCACGTGCATCCTCCCTTTGTCTGGGGAATCCACACTGTCTATGCTCCTGCCCATTTGTCTGTTAGTCACTGCAGAGCCTTCTTGATGATTAGACTGACTGCCACAATTTTAAGGAACCCTTATGTTACTTCATCATGGCCTGAAAGGGCGAGGGTAGTGATGCTGGCAATTCAAGATATGCCAGAGAAAATCTGTAATGTGAAAAGGTCAAAGTTCTTGACTTCATAAGGAAATTAAAAAAAACAAAAACAAACTGTATGCTGAGGTTGCTAAGGTCTATGGTAAAAATCTCTGTCCTGGCCGGGCTTGGTGGCTCAGCCTGTAATCCCAGCACTTTGGGAGGCCAAGGTGAGTGGATTGCCCGAGCCCACAGGTTCGAGACCCGCCTGGGCAACTTGGCGAGACCTCATTTCTACAATAAATAAAAAACTAGCCTGGGCGTGGTAGTGCGCGCCTGTAGTTCCAGCTACTTGGAGGGCTAAGGCCGGAAGGATCACTGGAGCCCAGCCGGTCGAGGCTGCGGTGGCCGGGAGCAGCCACTGCACTCCAGTCTGGGCCACAGAGTGAGACTCCAACTCACACACACAAAAAAGAATCTCTGTCCCTGAAATTGTGAAGAAAAAAGAACTGTGTGCTAGTTTTGCTGTCACAATTCAGCTGTAAAAGTTATAGCCGTAATGCATGATAAGGTAAATTTAGTGGCAAAAGCATTAAGTTTGTGGAAGACATGTACAGAAACGTTCTGATTCCCAGAGATGGGATTTAGTGCTTTCTGCCATGCCAGGCATCCACTGAGGGACTTCGGACGTATCCCTCATCAATAAGGGAGGGCAGGCAGATATGTCATTCCAAGACCCCCAGTGGATGCCTGAAGCCTCAGATAGTACTCAACCCTTTATGTGCTATATTGCCTTTTCTTATGTATGTATGTAACTATATTAAATTTAATTTATAATTAGGCACCATAAAATATTCAGTGAAGGCCAGCCTGTAATGCCAGCACTTGGGAGGCCAAGGCAAGTGAATTGCCTGAGCCCGTGGGGTTGAGACCACCCAGGCAACTTGGTGAGACCTCATCTCTACAATAAAAAATAAAAAAAACAGCCAGGCGTTGGTAGCACGCGTCTGTAATTCTGGCTACTTGGAAGGTTGAGGCTGAAGGATCGCTGGAGTTCAGCAGGTTGATGCTGGGATGACAGTGAGCGTGCCACTCAACTCCAGCCAGGGCAATGTAGTGAGACTTCAACTAACAAAAAAAAAAGGATTCAATAAGAATAATCACAATATAATGTAATAAAAGTTCAAGAATATGGTCTCTCTCTCTGAAAATATCCTATTGTACTGCATTCACCCTTTTTTCTGAGTTGGAGTCTCCCAGTCACCCAGACTGGAGTGCAGTAGCCACTCCCGGCCACCGCAGCCTCAACCTGCTGGGCTCCGCGATCCTTCCACCTCAGCCTTCCAAGTAGCTGGAACTACAGGCGCACGCTACCACATCTGGCTGATTTTTTGATTTATTGTAAAGATGAGATCTGGCCAAGTTGCCCAGGCCGGTCTCGAACCCGCGGGCTCAGGCAATCCACTCACCTCAGCCTCCCAAAGCATGGGATTACAGGCTGAGCCACTGAGCCCGGCTACATTTACCCTTCTCTTGCGAAAGATCTGATAACCAACATGGCTCCTGAGTGACTGACAGGCGGGTAGTGTCTATAGGGTGGATCTACCAGACAAAGGGATGATTCATGTCTCAGGGAGACAGCTGGTGCAAGATTTCATCACACTACTCTGAATAGCATTCAATTTAAACTTATGAATTTGCCGAGCGCGGTGACTCATGCCTGTAATCCCAGTATTTTGGGAGATGGAAGTGAGGAGTGCCTGAGCCCAGGAGTTCAAGGCCAGCCTGGGCAACTTGGTAAGACCTCGTCTCTACAGTACATTTTTTTTTTTTAATTAGCCTGACTTGGTGGCATGTGCCTGTAGTTCCAGCTACTTGGAAAGCTGAGGTGGAAGTGTCGCCCAAGCCCAGCAGGCTGAGGTTGCAGAGGCTGTGAGCATGTCACTGCACTCCAGCCTTGGCAACAGTGTGAGACTCTGACTCAAAAAGAAAACACGCATTTTTTTTATTTCTGGAATTTTCCATTGGACCATGAGTAACACACTACAGACTGTCTAGTTGCGGATAAGGGAGGATGACTATAGTTACTGAGAAAGATGAAAGATTAGCAGGGGCTTTGAGCTAGAGATCCCCCCTCATTGTCACAACATATCGGGGGGGGGGGAAATGACAGAAAAGATTGTAACAGGAAGTAAAATTTAGAACTTCACTAATCTGAGAGGATGCAGTTACAGCTTCGCCTAGAAACAGAATGATAGTGCTAAGTCTCAAAGGATTCCAAACCCATAATGAATCACCATTAATGGCTTCATGGCCTTAAAGACTCACTAGGTTTAGAATGTTAAATCAGGTAGGTCCTGTTATAAATCAAGCGGAGCTGATTTGTTGCGTAAAGGAACTTGCAACGGATATCTTATGCAATAGAATCCATTTCCTATTTGCATGAATTTTTTCAGAAACCAAGATTTGAAAAATAATCCTCTAAACTACTCAGTTGGTATTTGGAAGCAGCTAACATTGGTGAATAGGAAAAGGCATGACACACCCAGACACAAATGTAGAGAAATATAGTAAGTCAGCAGTGGAATCATGTGAATCCCTAAAGACATACGTAATAGTTGGGCCGGGTGCAGTGACTCAGCCTGTAATCCCAGCACTTTGGGAGACCAAGGCGAGAGGATTGCCTGAGCCCACGGGTTTGAGACCCGCCTGGGCAACTTGGTGAGACCTCGTCTCTACAATCAATCACAAAAACTAGCTGGACGTGGTGGCATGTGTCTGTAGTTCCAGCTATGTGGAAGGCTGAGGTGGAAGGATCCCCGAAGTCCATCAGGTGGAGGCTGTGGTGGCCCTGATTGTGCCGCTGCACTCCAGCCTGGGTGACAAGAGCGAGGCTCCAACTCAGTAAAAGAGAAAAGAAATATGGAAGAGTTATAGCTTGAAGCCTGTTGGAAATATGAATGAGAAGGAAATTGAATTTGTCAGTTCTCAGATTTTTGTGTCACCTCCCCTTTTTCCTATCCTTTCTTAGTACTACTTAGGAGCCTACGTTTTTATCGTCTTCACCGCCTTCCTGGTTACCTTCTTGATCTTCACCTTCTTCAAAGTCCCTGAGACCCGTGGCAGGACTTTTGAGGAGATCACCCGGGCCTTTGAAGGGCAGACACAGGAGGCCGCCAGATCCGCGAAGGACCCCATCATGGAGATGAACAGGGTCCAGCCTGAGAAGGAGTCCACCACCAACGTCTAAGCCCTCCCTCCTTCCACCTCCTCTCGACCTGGGAGAGCAGCCTCAGGACGAGCCCAGGACTGCTCCTGAGTGCTGCTACTTGGCTCCGTCCTCGTCCCCCACACTCCATGAGCACTCCAGTGCTGGGGTTAGCTGGATTTTCAGTGGCTTTTCAGATACTTCATTTCTTGGACATTCTCTTCTGTTGAGGAGAGACCAAGGGAACCTACCTTCATTTCAGGAGGGACTGACCACTTGGCATGAGACAGCTCTGCCACCTCTTCCCCCCTTGGGTTCTCGTATTGCCCCACTGGGGCATTTGGGTGGAGGAAGAGGGAATAAGGGGCGGTTCCCCCAACCTCAGACTCACCGGGGAGCAGATACACACACGGTGTGGAAGGCTGAGGGGGGTAGTGTAGGAGCGCCTTCCTTACTTCTGTACAGCAGATCAACTTGAGTTTTATTTATTTTATCTTCCGGTTTCATTGCAGAAATATTTATTTTTTTAAGTGTAAAGTAAGTTTACCAAATGGAAAACATAAGGGAATTGAGGTTAGAGGGAGGTGTTTGAGGAGAGGTTAGAGGAAAGAAAATTCGGTGCTGGAGAGGGGTTAAGATGCAATAAGAATTTGCAGGAGAAATGATTATTATGGTGTGGAGGGTGTATGATGAGTGCCTGAGGTTAGCACGCTGCCTCTTAACAATTTCTGTCCTTCAGGTGGAAATTCTTGACTTTCATTTCTCAGAAAAGTCATGTGCCTGTGTAAAAAGGCTACTGATTTACTTTGGAGCATTTTTCTTTAAGATTATAGTTTATATGTAGTATTACTTGAAATCTAGGACTGTTCACTAAGATGGGCATTGTAGTTTATGGCGGTTAATGCTTCTACTTTTGGATGAAGTCCAGGGAAGGAAAAGTTATTTCTAGAAAACCTCTTCCCCTCACTGGACCAAACTTCTTACCCTTGTAGTAGAGTCCTAATTTGTAAGCAATCCCACCCCCCATCTGGTTGGAGAGCCATCCAAATAGGGAAACTAAAAGAACTGGTTCTTGGGAGAGGGTTGGTGTTTCTCCATTTTGTTTTTAAGGAGATTTTAGGTGTTGTTTTTTTGTTTTATTTTCACCTGTAGCTTTAGAGGAATTCAGAAGAGAATACTCATGGCTAACTTGGAATTTGTAACCTCAGTTCTAGGAGAGAATTTTTCCTAGACGATTATTATCTACTTTAAGTGTGTTGTTGCTTTCAGGTCATGGCATGCTTGTCTATATCTGTTACCATGTGACCGTGGTACTATGCCAAGTGACCATGGGGACTTGAATCTTTCCAGTAGACCACACTTGAGGTAGGATGAGTCAATGTGCAGTGTAGCCCACACTTGAGAGTATGAATGTATGTGCACTGTCACTTTGCTCTGGGTGGAAGTAGTTTATTGGTGACTTTTTTCCTCTGTTCCTGTAGCCCCTTTTTGGGTAGAATGTATCGAAACCCACCCCGTCGCCCCTCTGTACATAAATAAGCTGCCTCTGCTGGGCGGAATTTACATCCCGGACTTCAGAATTCACTCATCTGGCTACCTTTTCCTGTTGGAAGGCAGGGACAACTTCCTAAGTCATTTTTGGTTTTTTGTTTTTTTTTGAGCGGAGGATCTCATTCTGTTGCCCAGGTGGAGTACAGTGACAAGGATCACGGCTCGCCACAAACAACCTCGACCTCCTCGGGTCAAGTAGTCCTCCTTCCTCAGACTCCCAAAAGTGCTGGGACCACCACGTCCAGCCCTAGAACTTTCTGTCTTGAGGTTGACAGTCGAGGGTTCAGCCTCAATCTGGATCCAGACGATGGGAATGGCAAAGAAAGTGAACTCAGGGCGTCTGGCCTCTGGGGGCCTGAAGGGGGATTGTGGGGGGAAGGAAGGCTGGGTCCCCCCTGGAGCATCTCGGAAGATCAGAGGCGGTGGAGGGCCGTCGTCCTGCCACAGGTCACAGGCGCCTCGGTGGCCCTCTCCCAGTCTGGGGGTGTTTTTATAGATGAAGAGTGGGCCCTGATGACACTCGGCCCCCTCCCCTTTTCCTCTGTCGCTTGATCTCCCTTTCCCTTCTTGGTGCTTACACATTTGAGACCCTTTAGCCAAACCCTGGCCAAGAACGATATTTTAGCTCTCCATTCTCACCGTTCCCTCTGGTCATTGAGGCTTTGGATAAAAGCATCACTATGGCCCTCCTCTAACTGCATCTCTACTTCTGGTTCCTCGAGCCGTGTGAGTGGCCAGGAAGGCAGGATGGATATTTTCCCACTTCTCGGTGACCAGGTTGTGAATGTGTCCATATGGGTTTTCTATTATCCATGTTACTATGGTTCTTCGTTTTAAAATAAAAATTCCAAATGTATATATGATATCACAGGCTCGTTCATTTATTTTTAGGCCTTCCTGTAACAATCTGCATTAAATCCTGGCTTGACATGTTGGTGTCTATTGTCACCTTGAGCAAGTTTTTTAGTCTCATACACGTGAAAACAGCAACCCGTGTTTATCATGCAAATTAAATGCAAAAAACTTGCTTGTATTGCTTTTCTTTTTATTTTTTTGGGTGGGAGTCTCACTCTGTCACCCAGGCTGGAGTGCGGTGGCATACTCAGCCACCGCAGCCTCCACCTGCTGGGTTTAGACGATCCTTCTCCCTCAGCCTTCCAAGTAGCTGGAACCACAGGTGCCACCACACCCAGCTAGTCTTTTTTATTGTAAAGACAAGGTCTTACCAGGTTGCTCAGGCTAGTCTCGAATCCCTGGGCTCAGGCAATCCTCTCACATCCACCTCCCAAAGTGCTTGAATTACAGACATGAGCCACTGCACCCAACGGCTTTTCGTGCTTAATAAATTATGTTGCTTTCTCCATCTCCTGCTTTTTTTTTTTTTCCTGAGTTGAAGTCTCTGTCACCCAGGCTGAAGTTCTATGGCACACTCACAGCCACTCCAGAGTTGACCTGCTGGGCTCCGGTGATCCTTCTGTCTCAGCCTTCCAAGTAGCCAAGACTACAGGTTTGTGCTGCCATGCCCGGCTAATTTTTTATCTGTTGTAGAGACAAGGTCTCACCAAGTTGCCCAGGCTGGTCTCGAACCCATGGGCTCAGGCAATCCACTCACCTCAGCCTCCCAAATTGTTGGGATTACAGACTGAGCCACCGCGCCTACCCCCTTCTGCTTTTCTCTTGTGTTTTTTCCTACCTGCTTCTTTCTCCAGCCTTTGCTCTCTAAAGTTCATCCTACATCCATAAGGCATACAAGTAGTCTCTCAGTATCCGCAGGGAATTGGTGAGTACACCAGGACTCCCCCTTGGATTCCAAAATCAAGGGACTCTTTTTTTTTTTTGAGTTGGAATCTCACTCTGTTGCCCAGACTGGAGTGCAGTGGCCG